TTAGGGGTAGGGTTGGTGTAGGGCAATAGAAAATACAGTTTGTACAGTATAAAAACCATTACGCCTATGGAGAGAACAGAGAACGTAGATGTAAACCACAAATGCAAGTATGTGTGTGTGTGTGTCATCCATCTTTAACTGTGCAAGACAGAATGATCATCTCCTTCATCTCTGTGTGTGTAGATTGAATAAATGAGGTCTTGAAGTCACAATTAATTTTGACCCATACAATGTATTGTTGGCTATTGCTACAAATATACCCCAGCAACTTAAGACTGCTTTTGTGCTCCAGGGTCACTGTATGTCACTCTTTATTGCAAAAGAGCAATAGAATGATTGATTTTTCATCGTCTGTCTGTCCGCTGCAGATCGTGAGCAGACGGCGTGTGAGCGTCACAAAGAAGCAGCCCAGGCCTCGTCCTCTTCCTCGGGTGGATTCTTCTTCTTCCGTCCGCGTCCGGCTGTGGGTCAGTACGTGCCCAGCTGTGACGCTTACGGTGCTTACGAAACCCTGCAGTGTCACGCCAGCGTGGCTCAGTGCTGGTGCGTTGACTCGTCCGGACAGGAGATTCCCGGATCCAGAGCCCAACCGAGCAGCAGACCCATGTGTAAGAGCAGAGAGCGGCTCCTTTGGAAACACTGATTAACCTATGATTTTTATTTGGATATTTTGTGGCTTAGAGTCATGAGCATGCATGCAAAGTTCCGAAGTGTCATGCAATAGTATTTATATTACAACTATGATGTTTGTGGGTCAGTTTGACCTGGATATTTCAGCTGCATGGAAAACATGTTCTGTCAAACCCTCTAATAGTGTTTGCATTCATGCATTTGGCAGATGCTTTATCCGTAGTAACGTACACTGCATTGATGGCGTACAGTTTACCCATAATTTGGCCGTTGCGAGCGCCATGCATTTGCAGTCTGAGCTTCAGGAAAGCACAAAGATTATTTGCTTTTCCATGCTTTTTTTTTATGTGTTAAATTTTTTACAAAATAGTTACAATACTGTTTATAAAATATGCAACTTGTGAAATTTCAGAAAAAAAACATAGGTTTTAATATATATATATATTTTTTGTAATGTGTGAGAAATATTGATGTTAAAGGTTTGGTTTTAACAGATTTGTTTGTTTTTGTTTTTCACATAAGTAACACTAAAATGCCTGAATGTTGTTGTATTGGATTAGGTTTCCACATTTTTTTGTCAGCCGAACCCTTTTGACCTAAAAACACTTAGAATCTTTTTTAGTAACCGTTTTATTTTGATTTGTTTTAATCTTTTTTCTTATGTTTTAATTTTACATTTTTATGGTGTAATGAATTTGTAATAAATGTTTTATTTACATTTTTTATTTACATTTTTGAATGATTTAATTTTACATATAATTTAATGCATTTTTATTTGTATTTATTTTTGTTTTATTTATATTTTTAAATTATTTATTTTAATATAACCTTTTTATATTAACCTATTTTTTTCATAGTGTGATTTTTGGTGAATTATATTGAACCCAATTTAACCCGCACCATAAAGATCATACTCAGATATTTAATGTAATACGAGCGTTAATGCCAGCAAGCCCCTCCCTCTTTCCATAGGTCTTGATCACAATGTGGCTCCGCCCCTCATTGGCCCCACCCCCAGAGCCGACATCAGTCCTCTGACTCCTGGAGCAAACCTCTTGTTCACTCAAAGCGGCAGGATCGATCACATCCCGCTGGACGGCATCCGGATGATGAAAGACGAGGCGAAGACCGTTCTGCACGAACCTGTGAGTTCAGCAAACGTGCTTCTGTGAGAATATTAGACACACGTAATGGCCCCAAAACTTATATGTGATTGATATTTTATTTATTTATGCATTCATTTATTTTTATACTTTTAACCTTTTTGAATTAATAAATTTTTTTTTTTTTAATTTTTTTTTATTTTTTTAAATATTTTACTACATTTTAACCTTGTTTAATTTTTCCAATTATTTATTTATTTAGAGTTTGCTACATTTAGACCTTTTTTCATTTTTACAAATATTTATTTATTTATGTACTTAGATTCTGCAAGATTTTAACCTTTTTTAATGTTTACATTTATTTATTTAAATTTTGCTACATTTTAACATTTTTAATTTGTACGATTGTTAATAAATTATTTATAATTTATTTATTTTTTCATTTATATTTTGCTACATTTAAATTTTTTTTACTATTTACGTTTATTTATTTATTTACATGTTGCTACATTTTAACCTTTAAAATTGTAAAAATGATTGATTAAATTAATTAATTTATTTTTTCATTTATATTTTGTTACATTTTAATATTTCAATTTTTACTATTATTTATATTTTGCTACATTTTAACCTTTAAAATTGTAAAAATGATTGATTAATTAATTAATTTATTTTTTCATTTATATTTTGTTACATTTTAATCTTTAAATTGTTACTATTATTTATATTTTGCTACATTTTAACCTTTTAAATTAAACAAATTATTGATTAATTAATTAATTTATTTATTCATTTATATTTTGCTACATTTTCTTTTAATTTTTACTATTATTTATTTATATTTTGCTACATTTCAGCCTTTTTAATTTTTTTAAATAATTAATTAATTTATTTATTCATTTATATTTTGCTACATTTTAACCTTTTAAATTTGTACAATTATTGATTAATTAATTGATTTATTTATTCATTTATATTTTGCTACATCTTAACATTTTAATTTTTACTATTATTTATTTATATTTTGTCACATTTTAACCTTTAAAATTTTTTAAATTATTGATTAATTAATTAATTAATTAATTTATATTTTGCTACATTTTAACATTTTAATTTTTACTATTATTTATTTATATTTTGCTACATTTCAGCCTTTTAATTTTTTTAAAATAATTAAATAATTAATTTATTTATTCATTTATATTTTGCTACATTTTAACCTTTTAAATTTGTACAATTATTGATTAATTAATTGATTTATTTATTCATTTATATTTTGCTACATTTTAACCTTTTAAATTTGTACAATTATTGATTAATTAATTGATTTATTTATTCATTTATATTTTGCTACATTTTAACCTTTTAAATTTGTACAATTATTGATTAATTAATTGATTTATTTATTCATTTATATTTTGCTACATTTTAACCTTTTAAATTTGTACAATTATTGATTAATTAATTGATTTATTTATTCATTTATATTTTGCTACATTTTAACCTTTTAAATTTGTACAATTAATAATTAAATAATTTATTTATTTATTCATTTATATTTTGCTACATTTTAACCTTTTAAATTTTTACAATTATTGATTAATTAATTGATTTATTTATTCATTTATATTTTGCTACATTTTAACATTTTAATTTTTACTATTATTTATTTATATTTTGCTACATTTTAACCTTTACAATTTTTTAAATTATTGATTAATTAATTAATTAATTTATTTATATTTTGCTACATTTTAACATTTTAATTTTTACTATTATTTATTTATATTTTGCTACATTTTAACCTTTACAATTTTTTAAATTATTGATTAATTAATTAATTAATTTATTTATATTTTGCTACATTTTAACATTTTAATTTTTACTATTATTTATTTATATTTTGCTACATTTTAGCCTTTAAATTTTTTTTAATAATTAATTAATTTATTCATTTATATTTTGCAACATTTTAACCTTTTTAATTAATGAATTAATTAATATTTTGAAGTCACGCTTAAATTGCACACATAATATGAAGCAAGTGTCATTTTTTGTAAATAAAGATGCACAAATGCATTTTTGATCAATATGTTTGACAGACAGACGTTTGTTGGGTTTAAGCTAAAACAATAGATGTATTGTTGAAGAAAATTGATTTTAGTTTCTTGGAGCCTCAATATGATGCTAAATTGTTTCTAAATGGATCCAGAAACTGTCAAATCTGCACTGAAATATGACAAAACCTGAATTTACTGCTGTGGTGACCACCGACAGACACGGCCTGCAGTCATGAGTCCAGCAGGACACTAGCACACAGGAGATGGTTTTCTGAAGCGGCTTTGGTTGACCATCATCTGTGGGATGTTTGAGATTCTCCAGAGTCGCTCACGCAGCCGCAGCTGAGAAACACTTCATGCACACTGAAAAACATGCATGAAAAATCAAAGACCCTCTTATTGGCTCCTTATTTTGCTCCAAAAATCAGTATCTTTGAAGCATATTTGAACGGACTGTCATGCTTTTAAGTTTACTGTTCAGTGGATTCATATGAAAAGATCTTAAATGAAGTGAGGCCAGATTTAGCTTTAAATTTTTAATCAAAAATAAGCTTTTTGATAATCCTTTTTATAAATAACAAAAACAAAAATGGTACATTTTAACCTTTTTATTTTTAAAATTATTTTTACAATTATTTATTAAAATTGTTTCTTTTTTTATATCTTGCTACATTTGAACCTTTTTTATTTTTTAATTATTTATTTACATTTTGCTACATTTGAACCTTTTTTATTTTAAAAATTATTCATTCATTCATTCATGCTAGTTTAACCTTTGTTGGTTAGTTAGTTAATTAATGAATATATTTAGCAACATTTTTACTTTTTTAAATGAATTATTAATTAATTCATATTACATTTTTTATTTTTAGATTAATTTAATTAATATTTTCTTCAATTTAACCTTTTTAATTTTTAAAATGTATTTTTTTATTTATCTATCTACATTTTAACAATTTTTGCAATGAAAGTAGCTATGGTACCTGCCATTGTGTTAAAATATAAACAAACGAGCATAAAAATGACTTTTTCCTGCAAATAAAGTGTGAGTGTGATGTTATATATTTTTGTTCATTATTACTTGTTGTTCGTTCTCTGTTGTATCGCTGTGCGCTACACACACACACACACACACACACACACACACACACACACTCACAATTAATTAATTAATTAATTTTAATTCATTTCCAACTCGTTCTTGAACTGCAGTTCATACCTGAACCTGTTCATACCATCGTACCTGTGATAAATGAAAAATATTGCATAAATGCCACTCGCTTTGATGTTTTATTTCACACATTTTTGAATGTTACTTTAGTTTCCAAGTGCTGTTTGTGTCCACTGGAAAATTCCTTGCAATATTGGTTTTGTTTTTTAAAATGTATCAAACTCTCGTCATGGAAATCCACTGTATGTTGTTTCCGTGAGCAGATCTGGGCAGTCCTGAGGGAATCGCCATCGATCACATGTCCAGAAACATGTACTGGACCGACTCCATACTGGACCGCATCGACGTGTCCCGATTGGACGGAAGTCAGAGGCGCGTCCTCTTTGACGATGACCTCATCAACCCGCGACCAATCATCGCTGACCCCGCCTTCGGGTACGTGTGTGTTTCGTCACGCCGTTATGAAGAACACACACTCATGTATGACACACATCTCTCTGTTCTCCAGATACCTGTTCTGGTCCGACTGGAACCGTGACGGGCCCAAGATCGAGCGCTCCGGTTTGGACGGGAGCGACAGGACGGTGCTGGTGCAGGACGGGCTGGGGCTGCCCAACGCTTTGACCTTTGACCCCCAGAGCAGGCGGCTCTGCTGGGCGGACGCAGGTCAGCAACATGCATCATGAATCATGTGGTGCTTAAGTATTATTGTTGAAAGATTATGAAGATATTCTCTTTCTTTATAATAACAGCACTGATGAATCATTCACAATCAGTCGAGAAGTATGAATTTTCTGTTGCGGTGCATAGAAGCATTTTACTTTGAATGTATTATTTATTTTTATATGTTTTATTTTTATTTATTTTTATATGATTTGTTTATTTAAATGTTACCCTTTTTATGGATTTATTCATATTTAGCAAGTGTTTTATTTTGATTGTTTTTATTTTTTAATTATTTATTTAATATTTTAATTGTGCATTTTTATTATTTAATTAATTTTTAGTGTTTTATTTTAATTTATTTTTATATTGATGTATTTATTTTAATTTTATATTTATAAATGTAATTAATTTTAGTGTTTTATTTCGATTGTTTTTATTGATTTATTTAATATTTTTAATTGTATATTTTTATGATTTTATTCATTTTTAGTGTTTTATTTTTATTTATTTTTATATGATTTGTTTGTTTAAATGTTACCCTTTTTATGGTATTATGAATTTTTAGTAAGTGTTTTATTTTGATTGTTTTTATTTATTTATTTAATATTTTAATCGCACATTTTTATTATTTAATTAATTTTTAGTGTTTTATTTTTTATCTATTTTTATATTTACGTATTTATTTAAATTTTATATTTATAAATTTAATTCAGTTTAGTGTTTTATGTAGATTGAAGATTTACATTTTTATGATTTAATTATTTTTAGTAAGTGATTTATTTTGATTATTTTTTAAACTATTTATTTTAATTCCAAATTTTTTATTTAATTTTTAATAAATGTCTAATTTTATTTTTATTATTTATCTATTTATTTTAATTGTACATTTTTATGATTTTATTAGTTTTTAGTAAGTGTTTTATTTTTAAATTATTTATGTTTTAATATTACATTTTTAAGATTTAATTAATTTTAGTAAGTGTTCTATTTTGATTGTTTTTATTTTTAAGTGATTTATTTATGAATTATTTATAATAGCGTCACTGGTGAATAATTCACTATCAGGCCAGAAGCATGCGTTTTTCTCTCTGTTGAATCCTAGTAATGTTTGTGTCAGGAACTCGTCAGGTGGAGTGTATCGATCCGTTCTCTCGTCTCAGGAGGAAACTGACCGAAGGGATTCAGTATCCGTTCGCCATCGTGTCTTACGGCAGAAACCTCTATTACACCGACTGGAGGAGGTACGAGTCACAAACAAATGACTCTCATGAACCAGTCCTTTTAATGAATCGATTCAAAAGAATCAGATTGAATCAGTGTGAAGAATCACTGAATGGTTTCTGAATTAACATTTAACTCACTGATTGGAAGCTTATATGACAATGTGTAGTTAAATATGGATGTTCATAATGGAGTTTTATTGCAATAAATGGTATTTTAATTAGAAATAAAAACATGAAAATATTACTACGATAAACAGTTTTTCTAACTGGAAAATCTGGATTTCGTAAGGAAGAATATTCTGTTGGATAATAGACTTTACACGCTTCACACCTCTTCAGACAGATCTTAAAAGTGTTTATTAGTTAGTTAGGGATTTATCTGAATTTTACATTTTTATGATTAAATTAATATTTAGTAAGTGTTTTATTTTGATTGGTTTTTATTTTAAAATGATTTCTTTAATTGTACATTTTTAAGAGTTAGTTTTTTGTTTTTTTTTTACAGTTAGTTTGTTACTTAATTGTTTTTATTTTTATGATTCATTTATTTTGATTTTACATATGATATAGGTTTATTTTTAGCATGTGTTTTATTTTGATTCTTTTAATTATTTATTTAAATTTTTTATTATTTTGATTAATTAATTTTAGTAAGTGTCTTATTATTATTGTTTTTATTTTAAAATTATTTATTTTAATTTTTGATTTTAATATTAATAAATTTTTAGTGTCTTATTTTTATTTTTTTATTATTATTATTTTTAATTTTACATTTGTATGAATTAGTTGTTATTGATTGTTTTAGTTGTTATTTAGTTGATTGTTTTTGTTTTTATTATTTCTTTTAATTTAATATTTTTAATATATTTTCTTATTTTAGTAAGTGTCTTATTTTGATTTTATTATTTATTTTTAATGTCTTATTTTGATCGTTTCTATTTTTAAAAGATTTATTTCAATTTTAAATTTTTATGAGCTACTTGTTAATTCATTGGTTGGTTAGTTGACATTGCTCATGAAAGAGAATTTGGTTAATCCATGCATTAAGGGTTTATATTGTTTAAGTGTTTGCGTAATTTATATGTATTGTTTTGAACATTGTGGTGATTCTGTGTTTTTGTTTTGTTGCTAGGGAAGCAGTGGTTGCTATGGACCGTCATGATGGGATGGAGGTGGAGGAGTTTCTTCCTCAGAGACGTTCACGTACATACGGCATCGCTATCACTTACCCACAATGCCCTGCAGGTCTGAGCTCAGGCTATTCTCATCATAAACGACTGTAATTTCTGAACTCATTTTAATCACATGACTGGTCCGCAGGCGTGAACTACTGCTCTCGTGATAACGGAGGCTGCTCTCATCTCTGTCTGCCGCGGCCGGGCGGATTCACCTGCCGCTGTCCCGACGCCAGAGACGGCTCGTGTGTCGAGCGGGACGAGAATTTCTGAGGTTACGTGAGACTGAGAGACACTGAGAACCGAGGAGGGAATGATTTGTGTTCCTTATGGCTTGGGTCGAGACAATCAATACAGTAGGGATGCACTCGATATATTCATATCGCATCTGCCACTATCAGTGTTCTTCATCATTGTGTCAGTCCGATGAGGCTGATAATAGACACAAGATAAAATCAGGGATTCACTTTTCTCAAAGTCTTTCGAAAGTACTGAAGAGTTCCGTATGGAAGCTTGTTTTCGTCACAGAATAAAAAATTAGAAAGGTAACCGCGACTTTTTTCTCGCAGTTGTGAGTTTACAATTCTGACTTTTATCACAATTCTGAGTTTACTTTTGAATTCTGACTTTATCACAATTCTTAATTTACTTTTGCAATTTTGACCTTTTTATCACAATTCTGAGTTTACTTTTCGCAATTCTGAGTTTACTTTTCGCAATTCTGAGTTTACTTTTCGCAATTCTGAGTTTACTTTTCGCAATTCTGAGTTTACTTTTCTCAGTTCAGTCTTTTTTTATCGCAATTCTGAGTTTATTTTTGCAATTCTTAGTTTACATTTCGCAATTCTGACTTTACTTTTCACAATCCTGACTTTTTTTATCGCAATTCGGAGTTTAATTTTCGCAATTCTGATTTTTTTTTTATCAGAATTCGGAGTTTACTTTTCGCAATTTTTTTATTGCAATTCCGAGTTTACTTTTCGCAATTCTGACTTTTATCACAATTCTGAGTTTAATTTTTGCAATTCTGACTTATTTTATCAGAATTCTGAGTTTACTTTTAGCAATTGTTTTTTTTTTTGGGAATTCTGAGTTTACTTTTCACAATTCTGACTTTTCCCTCAAAATTCTGTGTTTATATCATGCAAATCTGTTTGTTTTTGTTTGTTTGTTTCCATGGAATAAAAACATTAAAAGGTAATTGTGAAATTTTAGCTACATTTTTACTTTGTTTCCTCACAATTGTGAGTTCATATTTCTCAACTGCAAGTTATAAACGTTCAATTGCGCGTTTACATCTCGTAATTCTGACTTTTTTTTTCTTTTTGGAATTCTGAGTTTCCATTTCGCAATTCTTTACAGAATAAAAAATATTTAATAGGCAACTGGGACTTTTTATCTGACAATTCTGACTTTTTTCTCACAATTGCGAGTTTATAGCACAATTCTGAGTTTATATCTTGCAATTCTAAGAAATATTTATTTCTTTTTAATTTTTTTATGTCTATGTCGGAAACAAGCTTCCACAGTTCCGCATATTTTCTACTGCACATTTATATTTTTTGATGTATTAATTTTTTGCATGAAAAATTCTAGATTGCATCTCTAATGTGAAACTTTTTTTTTTTTTAAAGCAGGTAAAATATTAAATATGTATAATATCAGCAATTATATTGATAACTGTTAATAAAACAATATTGTTTGTCTTTATTAGTGGTTAACCATTATAACATTTTGGTTTTAATTACAAAATGCTGATATATATTGACTAATTGATGGAATTAAACTATTTCAACACAAATATCCATTTATAAAGTCTGTATTGGTGCATCCCTACTAAAACCACTTGAAAACATGAATCTGAATCCAGCTTGACAGTTTAGCTGATAGGTAGATCAATAAATATGATTTTACTGGTTGCATTCTGGGATGGATATTATCTGATTTAGGCGAAATATTACTTACAATGATATTTTAATCTGATTTTTAAAATGCCAAACGAAGATTTTCTTTTTGTTTATTGTAAATTTCAAAACTATATCATCTTTATGGGCTCTGTATTTCCTCTCTGGTGCTCGGGGGCCGATAATCAGGTCGTTTTATGTGACGTTTACACTCAGACGGTCCATCTGGACGAGAGCCTCAAATGGGAAATCCCACTATTTGTTTACACACTGCATGATGGAACGGCGGGCGGCTGTGAAAACAGCTGGAGAGAGGAAGGAAGAGAGAGACTGTGTTTTGTACAGCTGTTCAATTAAAACAGATTTTTTAGAGGTTCGAGTCTGTGGTGTTTTATTCCTCCAGTCTCATTCTTCAGATCAGACTCGCATGGAAACATGAGAAATTGGTCTTTTAACTTCTAAAAACTTACCAGTGGATCTGACAGCTATGTTTATTTTTTTTTGACAAGTTTCCATGCATTTCAGACTTTGGATGATCTGTGTCTCCTGCTGCAGATTTTCAGACACGCTGCAGATGTTTGACTTCACGCGGAGCTCTAAACGATACGGTCTCGTCACACACACACGGGACTATATGAGTCAAGTTTGATTGTGGCTTTGATGGGGACATAACAGCAGACAACAGACATTTAATTGATTGATCAAAATTATTCTAGTAGTGCTGATATTGGTAGGGACATGTCATAGCGACTCTACTAAACTCTACACCCTTGATATGAGTTTACATAAGACGTTCAATAATAAATTAATTATGTGAAAGACTGATGTTTTTGGTGTACTATGTACACTAGCAGTCAAAACTTTTTCAGATTTTTTATGTTTTTTAAAGAAGTCTCTTCTGCTCACAAGCCTGCATTTAGTTGATCAGAAATACAGCAAAAGCAGTAATATTGTGAAATATTTTTACAATTTAAAATAGCTGTTTTCTATGTGAATGTCTGTTAAACTGTAATGTATTTCTGTGATGCGCAGCTGTATTTTCAGCATCATTACTCCAGTCTTCAGTGTCACATGATCTTCAGAAATCATTCTAATATGCTGCTTTGCTGCTAAAAAACATTTATTATTATTTCAGTTTAATTCACATAGAAAACAGCTATTTTAAATTGTAAAAATATTTCACAATATTACTGCTTTTGCTGTATTTCGGATCAAATAAATGCAGGCTTGATGAGCAGAAGAGACCTCTTTAAACATTAAAAATCTTACTGTTCAAAAAACGTTTGACTGCTAGTGTAGCTTTTGTCTCTGGAGCGGTTCAAGCACAAAATACCGAGTAACTCGCGGAGGGAGATTGTTTTGGTCGTCACGTGAGTTGTGCTTCGGCTCCGTGATTCTGCGCGGATGAATCGGATGTTTATCAGCGCGAGTTACACTAACGACATCGAAACAAAACGAAAGAAAGACCGATATCCAAAAAATACGAGCAGCCAGGTAAGAGTTTATATGTCAATGTTGTTTTGAAATCAATTGTTTTAAAATAATGTTAAAAAGTTTGGCATGCTGACATTGCTTCATATCAGATAACGATGGAAACTGTAACTTGGCAAAGCTGTTTGTAGGAGAATACACCAAAGCAGTAACTGGTTTATAGATTGGCATCGTTACCAACATAAACATTGATCTGAGAACCCAGTCAACGCGCAGCGAATGTGATTCTATTTTATGTTGATTCGTGTTTTATTACGCGTTCTGACGCTTTCCTGCAGAAGGGTTTCGCCATGGAATAATAATAGTAATAACGTGATTGCGACTTTTTTCTTACATTTCTGAGTTTCTATCTTACAATTGGGACTTTTTCTTGAAATTCTGAGAAAAAAGTCTGAATTGGGAGATATAAATTCACAATTCTGAGGGAAAAAGTCAGACCTGCGGGTTTATAACTCTGAGAAGAAAAGTCCGAATTGGGAGATAGATTTGCAATTATGAGAAAAAGGTCAGAATTGTGAGACTAAAAAGTAGCAATAATCTTTTTTTCTTTTTTTTTTTAATCACGTGGCAGACTTAAATACTTTTTCCTTGAAAAAAAATATAAAAATAAAAAAAAGAGTATGCAGTTTCCTGGGAAATCCAGCCCGACAGCTCTAAAATATAAATAATGATTATAGGCTTATAAAATAGCGATTTAGGGTAAGGCAAAAACACTCGTTTTACTCGCTCATTACTTCAATTTTGTTCTTTTCGGACAGAATGTAGCTTTTTAATGATTCGGACCTCACAGATTTGCAAACATATATTTAACATGTTACTGTGTTTATTTGATATTTAATGACATTTCATGAATTATGTCAAGAAAATCCTGGTCATTTTACCCTAAATCAAAAGAATCATAATTAAAAAAAAAGGCTATTATTATTAATAATATTTTGGCATTTTTTTAAATGACAATTAAGGACATTTAAACTATTTTCAGTTGCCTTTTGTTAACATGGGAAAATGCTTTTACAAATGTACTTTATAATTTAAACATCACATGAAAGTACAGTTTTGCAGTATGTCGTACTCAGTTGATTTAATTGTGAAAAACAAACAAAAAACGATATTGTGGTGAAATTGATCAGTACATTTCTTTACGAGATTCACGTGATCTTAAGATCTTTCTGCAGTATTTGCTCCAGGTAATGAAGCGAGAGACTGTAATGATTTGAACAAAACTAAACTTCATGCTCTATATGCTTTGTTTTCTGGAGGAATGACGTGCTATAATCGTGAACACAAATGTGGAGATCATTTCTGTCGTGATCTGTGGAGCGTTTCAGTGGTCAGTGCCGAAGCTGATGGACTCAAATGTCCCACAATTCCCTGCGGTTTCTTCAGGACCAGCGCACCAGAATTCTGTCGCCGTCCTCCACGGAGTAAAACTCCAGCGGCTTCAGATCGTTGTCAATCTCAATCTCTCTACCGGCGATCTATAGGATGGGATATCACAAAAATAATACAACAAAGTTATATTATCTGATTATTTTGTCTCCAAAAATGATTTTAGTACATTTGCAGTAGGCAGTATGCATGTTTCATTCCAAACATAGTCTACAAAAAAAATTAAATAATAATTATTATATATATATATATATGTGTGTGTGTGTGTGT